GAGCCCAGACGGAGAGGAGCTCAGCTGAAAGGCGGCAGGTTAAACTGCAGCCGGCGACGTATATTTATCAAACCTGCTGCACATACTTCACACGGCAACAATGAAGGTGAAATGAATCAAAGTCAAAATACTTCAAGGACTCTGAATTATAAAGCGTATCACTTCATCGGCTACTTTAAAAGTGGAATCCAATTAATTCAGCGGGCCGCTTTGGAAATGATTATCTTTCCTTTAAACTGCGATGCATCCAACAATTCAAACAGCAGCTCTGCACCGCTTCATTTTTCTCTGCTCTATCTGCAGGTTTCATCCTCACCCCCTCCACCACCCCTGCCTGTTGGAGCAAGGATCATCGATCGGCCCGTCACCGCACAGCGCCGCGGTACACTCTCATTATTTCAGCTAGAGAGGACAGACAGAGGGAGGCAGAGCGAGGAAGGCCGGCTGAGCGGGGAGGTTTGAAGGAAGGAGACCAAAGTAGGCAGAAGGGGAGAAGAAAGGGAGGAAATCTAAAGACAGGAGCTGAGGAGGAGGAGGGGAGGAGGAGAACAAAGAGGAGACGAGCGAGGAGACGAGCGAGGAGACGAGCGAGGCCTTGAAAAATATTTCCACGACTATTTCATGAACGTCCACTCGTAAACCTCGGCTTCTCATCTATGAAAAATATCATTTACACGTCATTTGTAACCAGAGTTTCCACGCCGCAGCCGTGTCCACGCCGCAGCCATGTCCACGCCAAATTCTCAGCCTCAAAAAGGAAAAGCTGGACACCGCCATCGTGACATCACTCGCCTTATGTCAGAGGCACCGGAAACAGACTGCAGATGAAACAGACACGCCTACAGTGACGTCATGCTGTAGGTGCTCAACGTCAGCATTTTGACCGACAACACTGATCATCGCCTCACCTGTCAGTGGGCGAGACCTGTCGCAGAGCAGGTGAACATTTTGTCCTCAGAGTTTATGTTTGAAGCAACGTGAGGTGTCGTGAGGATTTGGCTGTGTGGGGCTCAGCATCCATCAAAGATGGCGGCGAGTCACGGCGGCGGGGAGCCAAGGTTCTGAGCCAAGGAGCTGAAAAGGTTCGTGCTGGTTCTGATGGAAAGGTGTCAGGACACACTTACCTGGAGAACACCTGTCACCAGGTAGTGTGATGCTTTGGTTGATGTTCTCCTGGAAACTCTGGGAACCCTGGGAAATGTGGATGTTTGACATGTAGCAAATACCGAAGCGTACCTGCAGACCATGTACGCCCTCACACGGACACGCTCCCTGATGACACTCTGCCATAAAGCAGACATGTTTCAGGAATAGTTTCAGGCGTTGACTTGGTCTCCAGTGGAGCATCTGTGGGATGTGCTGATAAAGTGATGGGTGTATATCCAGCTGTGTCACACAGACACCTGCTAATCAATAACATCCACATAAAATCACTCAACGTGGAGCACAGCTTCTGGGAGGGTCTGTTAGTACAGTGACCTCACAGCAGCCATATTACTGGTCAGATGATGTCATCACAAACGCTCCGAAAGGCTCCAGCAGCACAAACACAGCGCTGAGTTTTTTTAGCGCTTGGCTTTCACAACAACGCAGCGTCGGAGGACGTGTTGCCAGCGCTCTTTAAACAAGCATGAAATAAAGAAGAAGCGATTCTTCTCCCAAATGTGCAGACAGACTCTGAGCTCTTCAAAGAGCAGACGCGCTCCCCAACTCGAGGCTCTGGAAACCCGTCCAGCAGCAGCAGCACAGCCGGGGCGCCGTGCATCCCAGGTTCCCAGCTTTATTAGCACACTAACCAAATTAGGGGCCCTAACAAGGCAGCACACACAACACTGAGGGACGCATTCATTTAGGACGCAAGCGGCACTAATGCAGAGCTATCTGTCAAAGCGGCGCGCAGCCGTGCCTCCTCTGCACGCCGAGAGAGCGTTAGTGTGCGTTTGTGGAGCAGATGTGCAGGACAAGGTGTGTGTGTGTCAGCCGAGATGTTTTCACTCAGTCCCACCAGCCGGGCTCATGATGAGCCACACACACACACACACACACAC